GTGAAAGGATATGAGAAAAAGAAAAACTCTATTAAGGAGAGAGAACAAAAAAAAGAACAGGAATTAAGAAGACAAAAGATAACAATTGACATTGCATTTAAATTTTTTGAAGATCAAATTTGACTATGAAGCAAGAAGCTGGAAGAGAGTACCACAAGGTAGAAGTGTGAGAGAAGAAACTGTTAGCATAGAAATTATGGTTACCTTGAGCCAACTCAACTGTAAAATGATGAGACTTTGCAACCAATCAAGAATGGAGCGTAAATTTATAAAGTCTTGGTACTGTAGAGGAAAGTTCATAAAAAATTACCATGAAAGTATTTATAGAAAAGGCACAGGGAAGCAACATTACTGCAATGGAAAATGACTGTAGTCAAGATACCAGGTCATGACCAATAACAGTGAAGATTCTTCTTTGGATTTTATCAAGAATCTCTAAATATATAGCAAGAGCACCAGATCATATGTGGCATCAATGTTCAATGTATGGATGAATGGTAGAGTCATAAATATGTAAGATAGATTCTGGCAAGAAAAATTGCTTAGTGATTTCCTAGCAGTAGACCTAGCAATTGATTCAATGTAATCTTTTCATTTCTAGGCAGAAAATGTTAGCCAAAAAAGGCATAACGAGTCCCTCTCCTGGCGGTTAGCATCAGTCATTCCAATGGAAGGTAGAAAGGAGTCTCTCAGATGATTGATGAGGGCAGTTTTGTTTTGGAGGCTTTAAAATTAACAAACTATTCTTTGTTTCAGTTAACAGAAGATTGTAGTTCATTTTTGAGATCAGCTGTCAATTTGATGTTATTGAACCAATCAGATTTACTATTAAGCCAGAAGTAAATAGTATCATCAGCATAGATGCTGAGTTGAGAGCTGATGACATTAGGAAGGTTGTTGGTGAAAATTAGGAATAGCATAGGTCCAAGGATAGAGGCCTGGTGGTCACCTGCAATAATGCAGAAGGATTTAGAAGAGTGGACATTCAGGAAAAATTCCATTAAGGGATATAATTTAATCATGTCAAAATTTGTGTGTGGTGTACAAGAGTACTTGTAATAAACTTTAGAGTAAAAGTCTGAAAAGAAACAAAAGGGAAATAATTTGGATACACCCTCAAATGTAATAATAGTATAGGGGAATCATATGTTGTCTTTTGATGTGTACATGTAATAAACTTTATAAATGTCTGTATAAATAAAAAGAGTTGTTTACAAGATTTATAAAAATATAGTGAACTAATTGATAGCTTTTAAATATGCATATGAAAAAAGCTATAGAGTAAAGGACTGTGAAGAAAAACGAAAATGCTTTTGATACAACCTAATACATAATCAACATATTAATATGCATGTCACACATGGTCAAGAGGCAAACAGAAAGAGAGAGGGACATAGAAGAGAGTAAAACAGAAGCAAGAGAGGGGCAAAGAGAGACAAAAAGACAGTGTGAAACAGAGAGAGAATGGAGAGGCAAAGAGAAAGAGAGAAGGACATAGAGAGTAAAACAGAGAGAAGGATGTCAGTCAGTTATGTGCCATGCATGATACATGCTTAGGCAATCATGTATCTTTCAATACATGAGTGACGAGGCAGATTTTTTCCCACAGTAAGTTGCCATTTCTTTCTGTAGTAGACTAGTTGCCATCCAAGGCTATAGAACCCGATCTGTGCTGCTATTTACCCATAGCTGTGGGGAGAAGAAGAGGATTCATACCTTTCCCAAGGGTATTACCATGTAAGTGAATGTAATGGATCCAGCTGGAATTCGAACTCGGCTCTTTGAGAGGGGTGTAGAGTGATAAAAAGACAGTGTGACATAGAGAGGAATTGGAGGGGCAAATGGAAAGAGAGAGAGACATAAAGAGTAAAAGAGAAAAAGAGAGCGGGGTCTAGGGAGACAAAAAGTGAGTGAGACACAGGGAAGGATTAGGAAGTGGATCATCTTAGACAAAGAGAGATTTTTGTAGTGAAGGGTTAAATCATGTTTCATGACCTAACAAACTGCTTGGGCTAAATTTGCCCCTGAACTGCAAATGACCTTTTGAAATTAAAATCTTTTTTTTTTTTTTTTTGTCAACTTTATCTTTGTGAATTTGCTACAGACTGAAGGAACTAACTCTGTAGATGCCATCTTAGGAGATCGAGCCAATTAATTAAAAAGAAAATGAACAAAATACTTAAGACAGATAAATATAAAAAAATAGAAAATTTTAGGTTGTACATGCTGCTGAAACAAAATGGTGGTGCTTGTCAGCAAAGATATTTATAAATTAAATCATATGCAAGTATTAGCATTAGAAAAGGTAGGAATAATTGGACAATATTTTAGGGCTTCCACTTTGAAATTCAATGTCTTTTACGTATCTTGTTTTTTAAGAACTGGCAAAATTAATAAATTAATCATGAATAAAGGATGATTCTTTTTTTTAATATACATATTTATATATATATATATATATATATTAATATGCCTGTACTACTTTATGGTGTAATTTATGAAAGATATCACAGAGAGCGAAACAAAAAAGTTCACCCTTGAACTGCAAGTGACCTTTTGAAATTAGAATTTAATAATGATAATAGTTTGTAAAAAATAAATAGACGATGATGTTCTAATCAAAAATCCTATTAAACCTAGACTGTGCTGAGCATTCATGTAAGAAAGATCCAGAGAGAGGAACATAGAGAGTAAAACAGAAAGACTGAGAGGGATGTAAAAAAGAGATTGCAACACAGAGAGAGATCAGAAGGGGAGATCATCATAGATAGAGACAGTTGTCTGTAATGAGGGATTAAATCATGTTTCATGAGCTAACAATCTGTTGAGGACTGAAGTGTTTTTAAGAGAGATTATGATGCTATGATAACAGTCCTGACCTGGCATCTCGGCTTCAGTCCCTTTCCAACCACTGAAACATAGGTTTTATTAAAATTCTAATTATTTCTTTTTAAGATATTTAACATTGCTGAGGAGTGGAGGTAGTTAAAATAATAGCACTGTCAATGAAAAACAAAAACATCTTTTGACAATCCATTTTTTTTTTTTTTTGGACTCCAAAATCCAAGTTTGCCAAAATTTCTATCAGGAAGAAGGTCACGGCATTGGTGAAAATGTAATCAGGCCATTTGGGTAAAATTATCGTAGGTAAAATGCCGAGACAAAATGCGGTTAAAGCAATTAAGAATGCTTCTCTATCAAACAGTACAATAAGTTGACATATTGGCAACATGTCACATGATGTTGAAAAGTTTTTGTGTAGCAAACTAAAAAAAAAGTACTAAAGATTCTCTATTGAGGTCAATGAGTCAGCAAATTTCACCAACAAATGTCATATTGTGGCATTTGTAAAATATGTTGACAAAAGAAAAAACAAGAAAATCTTTTTTTTATTGGAAACACTTCCTCAAAACAAAGAATGATATAATTAAAGACACAATAGATGAGTTGATTAAAACATTGGGTCATGAATCCAGTGGAATATAATAATTGTGAGTTCAATCCATAGGCTGAGTAGTACGAATTTACACTCAGTTGAAACAGAGCAAGCAAAACTGAGACCAGGTGCTATAAGACTAGATGTGTGGGTGGTGTAATGGATAATGGCTCAGAATTGTTAATTGGAAAGCTGTGTTCCAATTCCTGTTGAGCTCATTATATGCACTTACATGCAAATATGCTCTCACTCCCCATCTATGGGTTAATTAGCAAGACTTGCATCATTAAACCATTATAATTTTTTTTAAATTCTTACAATATAAAAACTAATTTCTGGCTTTAAATAACCTGCAATGGACTGATAAGCCATAACAAATCAATCTTTCTTGATCTGAGAAAATAGTTGTATACCGCTGACAGTTAGGATATTTCTGAATGAGTTTAATGTCATTGGGATTATTAAATGTATAATGTAAATGCATTGATGATAGTTATTCTATAGAAATTCATTGCAAATGTTTTTTATTAAAGAAATACACTGCAAATCATTTTGTTAAAGAAATGCATTGCAAATTATTAAAGAAACTCTCTCTCTCTCTGCTGAAATTTTAACTGAATGATAGTTTGGTAGAATAAATTGTGTAATCTTGTAACAACAAAATTTCCAGAGTCCAAACATGGCTGCTTTTGCTTATCAAAAACTGTCAAGTGAGTGGTCATGGTTACATGTAACAAAGTGTAGAGTGAGTGTCTATCGTTTAATGTAAATAAATGGTAGAACTGCCCAAGAAACAAAATTGACAAAGTTTGGAATAAGCAACAACAAGAAATAGAAAAGAACAGGGCAAAAAAAAATATAAAACAAAGCAAACAATATATGCAAGGCAAAAAAACAGTAATATGGCACACAATAGCAAATTCGGATAAACGAATGTAGTGTTCTGAATTAAAGGTAAGACAAACCGGGAGTGAGTCAGATGGCACTGAGAACCAGCCTATGTTATTGGCTAGGAAGAAATCCCATCATGCATTTATGTGCTTCTGCCTGTAAATTGGGTGTTGGGGATGTTTTGCAGTCATTCCAAGTAAGATTGGAATGTGCAGCTTCTTTGACTGGATGGTGGAATTAATTTCTTCATGCTTTTTGTACACAATATACTTTGTTTTCACAAATAGAAAAGAACAGGGCAAAAAATAATATAAAGCAAAGCAACTATTATGTGCAAGTCAAAGAAATAGTAATATGGCAAAAAGTTAACAAACTAAGGATTTGGGGTTGACACACAATAGCAAATTCGGATAAACAAATGTCACGTTCTGAATTCAAAACAAGAGATACTAGGATTGAGTCCTATGAAACCTGCAAACTGGCCCGTTTTATTGTTTAAAAAGAAATCCCAGCATGCATTTGTGTACTACTGCCAATGAATTGGGGAGGTGGGAATTGTTTTGCAGTCATTCCTAACGAAGATTGGAACAAACAAGAACTTACTTTTTCTCTGCAGTAAAAATCGATCCTGGAAAATGAAACAAAAGAAAAAAAAAAAAAAGGCTCTTCTCACTTTCAATCGAGCTCCATCTTTGGTATGTTCCACTTGGGTCACTCCATCACCAACCAGCACATTCAATTCTTTGATTTTTTGGATGACAATATCATAGTCCACTTCTGGGAGAGATGACACTACTGATTCACCTGGGGTAAATAATGAAGAATATCAGACATTTCATGATGGCTAGAGGTGGAACTGGAAAGACTCTTTGACATTCCACTCTAGTTTGTTGCATTCATGTTCACACTGATGCTAAGGAAAGCAATGAATTGCACCCCCACCTACATGCTAAGTAGCACGGCAGAATGGGTACTCTAGCCTTGGGTGACAGCCAGCTTAGGAGATGAATTTGAAAACTGTGGAGAAGACAACAGGAAATGAGTCAATTACCTTTCTCAAGAAGTTATGGCAATTCACAGCTAATAAAAATTTTGTCAAAGTTTAACATACATTTAATAGTCTGAGAGAACCCTCTTTTATTAGCCATCAGAATGGGTAATGCTAACTGCCAGGAGAGTAATTTATTGCACCTTCTCGGACTAGCATTTTCCACTGGCATGAAGTGGAAAGATTGTATTGTATTAATTGCTAGGTCTGCTGCAAGGAAAGTTGGTTTCCTGTGTCGTGCTACACAATTTTTCATACCAGAATCTATCTTACATATCTATAAATCTACCATTCATCTTTGCTTTGAATATTGATGCCACATCTCCTGCTATATATTTAGAGATTCTTGTAAAATCCAAAGTAGAATCTACAATGTTATTGGTCATAACCTGGCATCTCGGCTTCAGTCCGTTTCCCACTGCCATAATGTAGCTTCTTTTGCCTTTTCTATAAATACTTTCATCGTGACCGTTCTGATGAACTCTTATCCAACGTATCTAGAATTTTTATGATAATGACACATAAACTTTACTTATATTTATATGTTTGTCTTTTTTTTTTTTTTATCATTGATAATTCATTTTTGAACAACCTAAGATTATGATTATTTAACACTTTCAATGTAAATTTTTTTTTTTTTTTCAAATATATGGGTAGGGTAAAAAAAGAATATTTAGGATTTCCTAGGGACTAAATAGCCTCTCTAGAAATTGTGTATTCACGGCAGCAGTGGGCAGAGAGCAAAATGTAGACAAGGTGCACATTTCAAAAAGGGAAACATTATATAATTATTGCAGTTTGGCAATTAACCAGTAACATTGCAAAAATATTAATAAACATCTTTTGGTTTCTGTGACAAAGGCAACCATAGTTGTCTCCTACTCGACTTTAAAAGAAATGACTGAATATCACTTATAGCCAGTAGTCAAATTGCATTGAATAAGGCTTCACTATAAAACCAAAATATAAACATGAAAGCATGAGTCATTTTCTTAAATAGCCGCAATTATATTGCACATGGATGTCATTCATGGCACAAAATCTGTTCAGAAATATCCACACTTTCAGCTGCATACAACCGCTTTCTAAGATCAATGGTGAAAAAAGGCTTTGAATAAGTAGAACCTGATAGTTTTGGTAAAGGTCATCCTGCTTTGAACATTATGAACTAGTGGTACAGAATCACAAACAAAGACAATGTACCAAATAACAGAAACTATATCACTCGAGGATTACCAACAGCAGCAACAACTAAAAAGGATAGCACATGTAACTCGAAGAGAAAATGTTGACATTCCATACTACTTCAAATTAAAAGTTAGTAAGGAAACTGTCATCAATCCTGTAAAGTACAATAATAGCTACTGGACTTGAAAAATCAATTTTCCTGAAAAAGATTTTACAAGATTTTATAAACTTCAACTGAAAATAGTATTAGCTGCATGGTTAATGCATGCCAAATGTTTCCTTATAGGGAAACGTCTATACTACCATTACCATTACTATTATTAGCTTAAGTGTTCATTTGTTTTTCTTCACAATTTCATTGTTATGAAAATTCAACATCAGACCACGAACTACTGCTAGTCATGATAAATGTATGTTCCCTTGAGGAGGCACCCTGCCTTGAGAGGATATTGGGCCTCAAACTCACACCCAACCTCAAGTTGAATTCTTATATACAATCCATCGCTAAAGATTCAGGTAAAATGATCATCTCCCTCTACCGCACCAGTAAGTACCTGACTCTTCATGCTATTCCCTGCCTTTATGAGAGCCAGATCAGGCTGAAAATGCAGTACTGTTGCCATATTTGTGCAGGAGCTACCCAGACCTCACTTTCCAGTCTTGATACAGTTTAAAATTCCTGTTGGAGAAGAATTATTTTCCACGCTCCAACCTCTCCCTCACAGGTGGGATGTGGCAAGTCTCTCACTGCTCTATCGCTACTATCATGGAAAGTGCTCAGACGAGCTGCATCTCCTGATTCCATCAGGTTTGATCTTCATAGCTAGGACCCGCCATGCCACTTACATAGTAGCCAACTACCCTCATTCACTCCATATTCTATAGCTTCTTCCTCTTAGGAGTCTATGGAATAGACTCCCAAGAGGATGTTTCCCCAATCACTACAATCTTAATCCGTTCAAGTCTAGAACATTTAGAGTCAACTGTTTTCATCCCCTCCTATCCATATAAACTAGCCCTTAATGTAACCCTCTACCTCGAGTGGCCCCCGGGCCTTATACAGGGTGAAACTTAATGTAAAAAAGAAAAAAAATTAAATATGCAAACAGAGACCCAGTAAATGAAAAATGAATTTTCATTGGCTGACTTCTAAAGAAATCATATCAATATAAGCTCAGTACTAGATTGGCAGTTAGGTCTCATCATTTTAGTGTTGACATTGCTAAATGTAACCATGAGTTCTATTCTGATAGTTTTTTGTCTTACACTTCTCACAATCTTGCAACATCAATTGTGATCTTCTGTCTCCTTGAAACCTATTCTTTTATTGCCCTCTCTCCTCAGTAAGGTTTTCTTAGTTTCCTTCACTCTATTGTCTTTCATCCTTCGTAACCCCTTGTGTCTTAGTGACTTTATCACCTTCCTTAGGTTGAAAAGACTTGTAAAAACGTATGTAAAGTCACTCACCTGGTTTCCAGACATGGTTTTCGTTCGATCCTCTTGAGGTGGCACAGTCAAGATTTTCATTGCCAGCATTTGCTTCGCCAACCCATATGAGGCCATAATCATACAGAAAATCCTAAAAATAAACAGAAAAGGCAAATAAAAAGAAAGCAATGTCAATCTTGAATTCACACAAGCTATCAGATTTCTCAGATTGAATTCATTGCTAGGTCAGCTGCTGAGAAAGTTTGTTCACTGTGTTGGGCTACGCAATTCACCAGAATCTATCTTACATATTTATAATACCAGTCATCTGTGCATATTGCTGCCATATATGGTCTGGTGCTCCTGCTATATAATTAGAGATTCTTGATAAAATCCAAAGTAGAATCTGCAATATTATTGGTCCTGACCTGGCATCTTGGCTTCAGTCACTTTCCCACCTTAGCTTCCCTGTGCCTTTTCTATAAATACTTTCATGATAATTGTTCAGATGAGCTCTTCACTATGGTTCATATTGTAAATACACATTGGGGCTAGTTTTTAAATTGTTGTTTTATCCCCCCCCCCAGACAATGAATTGTACATATGGGGACTAGTTAGGATTTTCATACAGACAATAACGTATCTGTCTATATTTCTGAGATGAGGTATTATGTACATTATTTACATTATTCGGACTATTGTCCTCATCTTTGTTGCCATATTTATTACAACGTTTCGGCCGTTGTATGCTCCGGCTTTCTTCAGGTGGTTGGAACGTCGAGCTGAACCCTTTATTTCGCTCACTGGGATAGACTGTTCTAGTTCCACGTGCCATGTTTAATGGATGTCAGTTATCAGTTACCTCCTGTTAATTTCCCTCTGAAAGTTCTCCACTGCCTTAACCAGAACTCGCACTCTTTGGGTCCTGTCACTGGATCTAACTAACGCCTTTATCCACTGTACCAACCACCTGAAGAAGGGCGGAAAGTACAATGGCTGAAATGTTGTAATAAATATGGTGACAAAGATGAGGACAGTAGTCCAAATAATGTAAATAATGTACAAATGAGGTATTATGGTGGATGTAGTAAGAAATGTAAATAAGAATGTCTTGTTTTGGTGTTAGGAATATTGTGGTATGTTTGGGTCAGTGTTTGTGGCTAGCTAAGTTTAAATTTAAGACAAAAGAAGACTGTACTTTTCCCCATTCCCGATTTTTGACCTTGTGCCACATTTTCTGTATTTGAATCAGAAATAAATATCGCTTTTCACAATGGTACCTAGACTTTTTCAATTTAAGTGCAGTACTAGATTGGCATTGAGGTCTCATCAATTTACAGTTGGTTACATGTAACCGTAAATTCCATGTTAACAGTTTCTTTTCTCACACTTCTCGCTTGTGGAACTCTCTTCCAGCTCTATGCTTTCCAGCCAACTTCAAAAATTTAATTGCAATGTCAATCACTCTCTACTGTCTTCCTGATTATTTTTCTTTTTGTTCTTGCTCCTTAGTAATGTTTCTGTTTCTAATTCTTCCACACCCAGTAAAACCTTGTGTCTTAGGGGCCTTACTGCCTTCATTGAGGTGAAATGATTTTTAAAAAAGTATTGTGAAAAGCCTTCAGAAGGTCAACGCTTTAGTTATTTAATAAAAGAAAGATTTTGAATGTGATTCAGATTATCATTCTTATTTTTGCTCTTTATGTTTCAGACTAAGACTGGAAATAGGCTGAAAACTGTTTGGTTTCTTTTAAGACACTGGAACAAGAAACACAATATTTATAATGAGAATTATATCAGAGGGAACAATACAAATGCAGAAAGACATATGCCTATGTTTCATCGACTATACAAAAGCATTTGATAAACTACAACACGAAGCTCTATTTGAATTGCTAGAAAAACTTGATTTATTTGGGAAAGATATCAGAATAATCTGGAATATTTGCTGAGAACACCCCGCCTACATACAGATAGAAAAGGAACTAAGCGAGTACACAAAAATAGAAAACGACATACGACAAGGTTGTATCTTCTCAACAGATTTATTTAACCTTTACAAGGAGGCAATTTTAAGAGAATTAGGTATCCCATCAGGATTTATTATTGGTGGTCACAATCTTAACAACATAATATATGAAGAGAACACCATGTTGATGGTGGACACAGGAAGAAAACTGCAGGAACTACTTCAGAATGTTGTGAAAGAAAGCATGATGAAAGGACTAACCATCAAATGTAAGAAAGCAGAGTATATGGTCCTTAACAAGAGGGAAAAGGCAGAATGTGCACTATGGGTGAAAAATGTCAAAATCAAGCAAGTACAGAAATTTATATATCTGAGAAGTGTTATAACAGAGGATGGAAAATGTGACAGCGAAATCCGAAGGCAATTTTCTCACAAATAAAGAGGAAATTTGAGGCAAGTGAAATGTGGTTCTACAGACAGATGCTGAGAATACAATGGATGGAACACATGAACAACAAGGAAGTTTTAAGAAAAATAGGAGCTACAAGGAAAACTCATGCTTACTATCAGAAAGAGAGAGTTGAAATTTCTGGCACACCTAATAAGAAAAGAAAGCCTGGAGAATTTAATACTCACAAGTCATATTGAAAGCAACAGAATTATAGCAAAACAATGAGTAACCTACTGAGTTTGTGTGAATGGGTGGCAGAATAAGGATAGGCTAAGGAACGGTAAAATTAAAAATGACTAAAGCTACAAAAGATAGGAAGTTGTGGAGAGCCAGTGATATCAGAGAAGTGATTAAGTGATAAAAATGTGTGCTATCCACTTCAAGATCTTTATATTTTGACAGTTTTTTGAATAGCTTCAAAGGTACATTACAATCTGCAGAATGTACCATGTCAATAAGAAAGCACATTCTGTTTTTGTTGTCTTTGATCATGATCAACTTGATCCTGAAAGGATATGACATTAACAAAGAAAAGAAAGCTGTGGAGAGTCATGATCACCTACATCCTAAATGGACATGGTAAGAAGAAAGGATAACAGATGGAGTAAAAGGTTGCTTAAATGGTGCCGAATGGATAATGCTGTTACAATTTCTATCAAAGTAGTTTGAGAAAAGCATTTGTTCAGCAATGAACTCAAATCAGCTCACATTTCTGTTGTATACTCATTTTCTTTCCAGGTCCCAACCAGAGACCTAAGGTTAGAAATGGCATCATTACATTTTCCACTGAACATTTTTGGTAAAAAAAAAAATAAAAATAAAAATAAAACAACCAAAGATCATACTCATTTTACATTGATAAAGCCTTTTTGTAAGCTGTCAGATGTACTTCTGAGTACAATTTTTTATATTTCTTTGAGGCTTGGGAAACCAGGGATCACTTCAATAAGTCTATCAGAACTTTTTCCAATCAATCTGAAAGCTCCAAAAACAACTGGAATTAATGATGTTTTCATCTGCCATGATTCTGAGATTTCCACTTTGTATTTCGATAGTTTTTTGAATATTTTCAAGCATACATTACAATCTGCAGAATGTGCAACGTCAATAAGAAAGCAAAATTCTGCTTTTGTTGTCTTTGATCAACTACGTCCTGAAGGGATATGACATTAAAAAAGAAAAGAAGGCTGTGGAGAGTCATGATCACCTACATGACATTAAAAAGAAAAAAAATTCACTAATATTAGTCTTTTAAAATGATTTCTTTTTTGAAATTTGAGACATCAGAAATTCATCTCATTCCAAGAAATAATAGTCTACAACAATCATTTCTGTTTCAACTTCTTAAGAAAGGAGGGATTGAACTAAAAAAACAAACAATAAAATCAATAATAAAAAAGATAGACAATATTTTCACACCTACATGAAACATCTGTTCAAATATTAGTGTTGTTGAGCTTTCTCTTTTGTTGTATATTAAACAACACAGATGTTGAATAAACTGGATGACCAATATACAGCAAAAAATTTTATGACAGTTTGAAGGTCTTGAGAAGAATGTCATGTATAGTAGAACTTCACAACCTGGCTACATAATATATTATTATATCTGCAAGATTATATCAGATTATATCCAAGATGAGGATGAAAATTATCAGGTTACTGTAAACTTCTTTTCAGATAAAAAGAGTCTTTTCTCTTCTAATACATAATTTAAACAATTGCTCATTGTAGTGTTGTACAGTAAGGATTTGTACATTTCCCAGTGATATATAATAAACAATTTCCTTGAGTCTCTACTAAATATAGATAATTCATTCCATTCTCCATTTTTTATATATCAAGCCTTTTTAGGATAGGCTATCATGGCTCTCCACAAATTCCTGTCTTTTGTTACTTCAAGTAATTTTTTAACCTTTGCCCCTGATTAGCAATCAATTCACACAAACTTGCTGTCTTTTGTTACTTCAAATAACTTGATAATGAAATTATACAGTGTAATCTCTTGCCTCACTTCAATGTGCCTTGTGAGTGGTAAATTCTCTTGGCTTTCTTTCCTCATTAGGTGCCCCAGAAGATTCAGCTATCACTTTCTATTGTTAGTATAAGTTTCCTTGTTATTGCTATTTTCCTTAAGACTTCCACATTGTTCATATGTTCTGTCTATGGTATTCTGAGTATTTATCATTAGAAACATATCTCTGTTGTTTCAAGTCTTTTCTTCATCTGTGAAATTGTTCAGCATTCACTGCTATATAGGAGATTAGATATTAGAGAACATTTTAGCACTTTTTTGTCTAACAAAATTTTCCTTTTTCTTAATACACTGCTTAGTTTCTGGAAGGCACCTTTCATTATCCCTATATACCTTTGGACATCTGCATCATATTTTCAATCATCTCTACTACATTACATCTAGATAGTTGAATTTCTGTACCTGCATGATTTTGACATCCCCAATATGTAGCTCACACATTAGGCTGTCTCTTTTGTTGATTAACATATATTCTGTCTTTTTACATTTAACAATTATTTCTTTCTGCCAGATAGAGAGATAGATAGATAGATAGGAAATGAGATAGAATGATAGATATGAATAAAATGAGATCGATAAATGTAGATAAGAACAGATAGATAAAAATAATAAAATGAGATAGATAAATGTAGAGATAGATAGATAGATAGATAGATAGATAGATAGATAGATAGATAGATAGATATGAGTAACATGAGATAGATATAGGTAGAAAGAGAGAAAAAGACTGAGATAGATAGATAGATAGATAGATAGATAGATCTGAACAAATAGATAGATAGACCTGAACAGACTGAGATAGATAGATATATAGATCTGAACAGACTGAGATAGATAGATAGATAGATAGATAGATAGATAGATAGATAGATAGATAGATGTGTGTCGACAAAATGTAAAACTGTACTTTATTCCTTGAAGATTTAATTACTCAACTATGTGAGTAAAAATACTGATAGGAATAAAGAGATCAGTAAGTCAAAATATCATTGTTGATTGATTATTATTTCTAATCAACTGATTCCTAGTTTCATTCTATAATTGAATGTCAATGACAATCATTAATCTGTCCTTATTATGTCAGATTTGTCTTTCTTTAATTTGAGAAATATCATTGATCTTCTCAAATCCTAAGCAATATGTGAGTGACATTTGATCAACTGTATTTCAATCAATGATCAATGAAAGTTCTCCTAATTAAGAAAAACGTCTGTCTATTGTCCTTTCCCAGGCTCCAAAGATCTGCAATGTTCTTTTACTTTGCATGAGTGGACACCCCAAAAATGACCAGTGGATACTTTGCTGGCAAAAACACTTGTCTGTAAACGGACACATAGCCATGACTGTTTGCTTTCTGAAATAAGCCCATTTAAGTCTATGAGGCTGTTATTAAAATAAATCATCTTTTATAACAAACAATTTTAATGATTTGGTTTTAATTTTTGTTTGTGTTTTCACCGCTTATTTGTTAAGTTACCTGTAGGACAGTTAGTGTATTTTATTCATATGTACTAAGCAAAAGTAATATAATGGCATAAATATATAAGAGGGTATCAAAAATATATATATATATTTTTTTTACAAACCTTTATTTGAAAACTTATTTCATGAACACATTTAATAACTTTCTATGACAGAACTATATTATTGCATATTAAAATGTTACAAAAATATATTTAGTTTATGGTCCTTTACTCTAAAGCTTATTTCACGTACACATCAGAAGACAATTTATGATTCCACTATTATTATTATTATTATTATTATTATTGTTGTTGTTGTTGTTATTATTATTTTCTCATTACTTTCCAGACCCCAACCAGAGACCTAAGGTCTGAAATGGCATCATGACATTTTCCACTGAACATTTTTGTAAAAAAAAAAAAATAAAAACAAAAATAAAACAAATAAAGCCTTTTGTAAGCTGTCAGCTGTACTTGTAAGTACAATTTTTTATATTTCTTTGGGAATCCAGAGATCGCTTCAATAAGTTTATCAGAACTTTTTCCAATCAATCTAAAAGCTCCAAATATAACTGGAATTATTGATGTCTTCATCTACCATGTTTCTGAGATTTCCACTTTGTATTTTGATAGCTTTTTGAATATCTTCAAAGATACATTACAATATGCAGAATGTGCTATGTCAATAATAAAGCACATTATGTTTTTGTGGTCTTTGATCACAATGTCTGAGTGATTAGCCTTGATTGTTCTATCTGTGTGTATTGTAAAGTCCCATAAAATTGTTCCAGGTCCCATGTAAAACAAAACTGCTTCCCTTTGACCACCACAGAGAACCATTACTGCCTGCATGACAGAGGCTAGACTCCTGGAAAGCAACACATTGCACCTTCTTGGCCTCACGTTTTAACTGACTTGAAGTGGTGCAACTACATCAAATCAATACCTGCATCAACTTCAAGAAAAGTTGGATGACTGTATCATGCCAGAAAATTTTTCTCATCAGAATCCATCTTTCAAATTTACAGATCCACTATTCATCCATGCATTGAACACTGCAGCCATATCTGGTCTGGAGCTCCCTGCTATTCATCTTGAGATTCTTGACAAAATCCAAAGAAGGATCAGTAATGTATTCGATCCTAACCGGGCATCTTCAATTCACTTACATTCACAATGATGTGTCATGGCTTCCCTCTGTCTTTTCTATAAATATTTTCATGGCAATGTACTACTGAACTGGAATCTAGGTCCCACGCGTTTACCGCCGAACTAGCTAAATACAAACACCACTTCAACAAATTTTTTTTCTTGTACCTCCCACCTGTGGATCTTCCTTCTGTTTATTTGTTTCTCTGGAAACTAAAATCTTCAAAAATTTAAATGCAATATCAATCACCATCTTCAATTCCGTCCACCTTTTATCCTCTCCTCAATTCTCCCTATACTTAGTCTATTCTCACTTTCACTCCCTGTAGCCCCTTGCGTACTAGTGGCATTTTCCCCTTTCTTGGGAAGAAATGATTAAAAATCAGTTCTGGGTGGTGTTCATTCCTCCTCCTCCTCTTCCTCCCCCTCCTCCTCCTCCTCCTTCACCTTCTCAATAAAACACTTTAGTACTGAATTAATCAAACAGCTAAGTATCAAACAAACAGAATGACAGGAGAGTTACGTGAAATTTATACGAAGCTTTGTCTGCATTTCTGGGATGAGAACTTATCATTATCTACACTACTTTCATGTAGACTAATGTCCTCATCTTTGTTTTTATTATCACCTGATCACATTCTGTTAGAATTTCTGGGATGAGAACTTATTATTTGCTCAAATTATAATTGGACTACTGTCCTCATCTTTGTTGTTATTATGACAATGTTTTGACTGTTGTACCCTCAGGCCTAGTGGGTAAAAACATTGATCTGTGATTTTGGTGACATCGTGGAATGTGGCTTGCACTCGGTGGAAATATGCAAGCAATAACTGAACAGTAATAAATAAAATAAGAACTAGATGATATCCCTAGATATTAGCAGTGAAACAAGCACAGTCTAACATTGGAGATTGAATAAAGGATTAAATTCAGAATTCCAGATTGGTATACACCTGAGGAAGACTGGAGAGCACAATAGCCGAAACATTGAAATAACGACAACAAAGATGAAGACAATATTCTGAATATAAATACTGTAAATATTTATACTAAGTTATTTGATTAATTCCTTTTAGTAACTAATCAACAAACAGAAAATTCAAACATGAGCAAGATCAGTATCATATTATGCATATTTCAGTTGCATGCCTTCACACTGGCTGCATTTCATTTGTTTTAATGTGTTGATTACCAGTACAGCCATTTTTTCTAGACAGGTGATGATTTTTTGTAGATTTTTTATATTTTTATACTTGTATGCAATTTTTAAATATACCTTGAAGAAGACAGGCATACTGGCGAAATACTATTGAACATTGTCAAACATTGTCTTTTCTTTTCTTTTTCTTTTCTTAAATCACACTCTTCTCACTACTGTTGTATTATTATTACTATCGTTACTATTAACACTTAAGAGAAGAGTGCAATTTCAGAAAAAAAAGAAAATATATTGTTCAATGATTCCACAGAAAATCTCTTTTCTTCAAGTTATATTTTTAGAAAAATTTCAAGTATAAAAATATATATGAGCTCTAGTAAAAAACATGCAATGATAACAGCAAAAAATTGCAATATGAGCACTGGTAAAAATGGTTACTGAAGGTTTATAAGTCCTAGAAATTCATACACCTCAAGGACACATGACACAGTTGATAAAGGCGTAAGTTAGATCCAGTGACAGGACCCAAAGAGTTGTTAGTTCAATACCTGGTTAAGAACTTGGAGAGGGGAATTAACAAGAGATAACTGATAACTAACATCCATTAAACATGGCACGTAGAACTAGAACAGTCTACCCCAGTTTGACATTCCAACCACCTGAAGAAGGCCGTAGTGTACAATGGCCGAAACGTTGTGATAAAAATGGCAACAAAGATGAGGACAATAGTCCGAACAATGTAAATTGTGTACATAATACTTCATCTCAGAAATATAGACAAATACAAAAATATATGAATCTACAAGTTTTTTTAGAAATATTGCTTGTCTTGTAATGAAAAAATGATTGTCCTGGTAATGAAGGCGTCAAAATGAATGAAATGCCACCATCGTGAAGGCATGCAACTGAAATGTGCTTAATATGATGGTGATCTTGTACATCATGAAATTTTCCATTAGTTGATTAGTTACTAAGAGGAATTAATTAAACAGATTAGTATAAATCTTATGGAAATCTATCATTCTGTTCATCCCCTCAGGGCAGAAGTGAGTAATTTGCATATGTAACTAATGAGTATAGTTTTTAGGGTCGAAAGGCTGGTAGATTTTATCTATTATCTTTTATTATTATTATTATTATTATTATTAAATCTTTCATTATTATTAGTAGTAGTACTAGTAGTAATATCAGTTGATAGAGCAGCACCCCTACAAAGAGGTGCTGGGGGAAATAAGAAAAATTCAATATATCCATCATGACAGGCAATCTGATGAGAAGATACCATAATTAGTAGTGTTGTTGTTGTTGTAGTATATTATTATTATTATGATAATATTAATAATAATGATAATAAAATGAAAATTGAGTGAAATTAAAAATTGAATGCCAAGACGAGAAAAATGCTTACCCAAATAAGGATGCACCACCTGAAATGAGATGTTGTTAGGCTGTACATACCAAGAGCTTTAGAAGGCCAAGGTCTAAACCAACTTGAGCCAACTCTAAAAACTACAACAATTGGATTGGAAGCATACCTCAAAAATACCAATGACCCTCTCCTACAAATAGTAAGAAACCAAATCCACTCCTTTAACAAAGAAGCTGCACTCTTCAAGAAACAGCTTAATATACATGAAACCATACCAACAAAAAAAATGAAGTGAATACCATCTATGCCAAATGAGTAAAACAGAAAGCAAAACAACTTAGCCAACCAAAATAACAAATAAACTGGGAGGACAAGGCATTGCATGGTAAATACCTTAAAAGAACAAAAAAAAGAAGATGCAAACCAACAGAAAACACGTCAGTGGCTGAGGGCACTGGGCTGAAAACTGAGACAGAAGGCCTAATTATTGCAGCTGAGGACCAAAGTCTCACAACCATATCCTATCACTGTCACATAATCAAGGATGGAACTAACCTGAAATACAGGATCTGTGGAAAATATGATGAAAATGTCCACCATATTATCTCAGGATGTCAGGAACTGACAAAAAATGAATATACTCACAGACATAGGAAGTTAGCATCATATGTGCAATGGAAGATATGAAAGTAGCACAAAATCAAAACCACTGAGAGATAGTATGAGCACCAACCAGACATAGCTTCCCAAAATAATGATGTAAATATCCTCTGGGACATGCTAATTCAAACTGACAGGGAAATAAAAGCCAACAGAACTTATATTATTATAAGCTAATCACCCAGACATCGTTAATATGCAAATTTTGTCATAAAAGACAAGAAATTCAAGAAGTGCATGCTTATTGACATAGCAGTACCATCTGAAAGAAACACCACATGTAAATTATTGAGAAATTGTCCAAATACGACATGGAGATCAAGATTAACAGGATGTGGGGAATGAAACAGAGACTGTACCAATAGTAATCAGAGCTCTGGGCTTTGTGAGAAAAAGAAATGGATATTTTTACTAACAGTGTTCCAGGTAACATTAACATACAGGTTGCTCAGAAGACCGCCCTACTAGGAACATCCCATATACTAAGAAAAGTGCTATCAATTAAGTTACAATTCACCTATAGGGCCTAAGGACCCATAGTTTGGACCTGGCTTTAGAGGATACAAAGCAGGAAAAATAACATACACAAATAATAATAATAATAATAATAATGATGGTGATTATAATAAATGCAAATAAAGCATAGTACACCGACTGCAGCTGCAAAATAATGCTTGCTATCTAGAAATGACCAAACACATACTGAAAAATTGTGTTAGTCGAAAATGCAAATTTTGTGATAAATATCCAGAAACAATTGACCCTCTTGTATCAGGTTGTATGTTATTGGCACCCATTGAATATAAAACTCAACATGAAAGAGTGGGCTAATATCTACACTGGAAAATCTGCAACTTCTACAGAAAGAAAACGGCAAGAAATTGGTACGAACATCAGCCAAGCCTGGTTACAGAGATAGGACTTGTAACAATTTTATGGGACTTTACAATACACACACCAATCAAAGCTAATCACCCAGACATCGTGATTAGAGACCACAAAGACAAAATGTGTCTTCTTATTGACATGGCTACCCCTGATAAAAGAGCTATCAAAATACAAGGATCTTAAAATCAAAATCCCCAAAATATGGCATATGTGGATATAAACAATTCCAGTTGTAGTTGGAGACCTTTGGTTGAATGGAAAATATTCCAATAGACTCGTTGAAAGACTTCCTGATAGCCCATGCCTTAAAGAAATACAAAAAATTGTTCTCACGAGTACAACCCACACCTTACGAAGGTCTTTGTCTATATAAAATATGTTTCAAAAGTGCTCAGTGGAAAATGTCATGATGCCATTTATGACCTTAGTTCTCTCGTCAGGACTCAGAAAAAAATGAGTATACACCAGAAATCAAAGGAAATAAAATAATATATCATATACCCTTATCCTTACAAATCTGCAGGACAAAACAAAGTGGCCCAATTGTCAAATTTTCAATATGATTTTGGCAATTTAGTTGCATTATTTTCAGTTGGGTTTCTAAGTTGATGAATCTGCTCACATAATTTAAGAAATGGAAGGAAATAAAACCAAACCTGAGCATACTGCCCAAAACTGCTTGAAGAATTTTAAGCGTAATGAATTATCTCTTGAAATAAATCCCAGAACAAGATGACCATTCTTTGTTGGTTATGTTGCTATACTATCATCAGATGACATTGCTATGGGTCATAAGAAAGATATAAGTTCTGAAGAGAAACCAGATATTCTAAAGTTATAGACTGATGGGAAGACAACATTGGAAGTCACTAAAGTCAAATGAAGAAAAGAGGAAAACCAAAGAAGAAATTGAAATCATTGGTAAGAGAAGAACAAGAAAGAACTCTCACGGAAAAAGAGATTTGAGAAAAATTTTAAAGTTATGCAAAAAACTGATTGACCAACAATGAAATAAATAAATTTTATTCTTTTTGTGCAGTTGCGTTCCCAATAGCTGTGTAGAGATACAAAAAGTGATTATCTCCCTTTGGTGGAGATAAGTCACATGGGTTACATGACAGCTGCTTAGTGATGTTACTTCATACAGTGACGAAAGTGGTCAGTCATTCAGTTTGTTTACAGCAGCCAAATCAATCAGTTGGGTCAAGAGGCTCAGGCTGAGGCTAAATCTCCCTCCTCCAGCAAATGCTACAGCTTACAATTCCATGGTGCCATTTCCTTTTGGGAATATATCTTTTCCAGGCATAGAAAGAAACTTCAGCTCAGAGTCCTCAATTTGGGGTAACCAAAGACTTGCTGTTTCAGTCATGGAATATGTCCTCAACTGGTACATTGTAGATGAATCCATCCCATTTGAATCTGGAGTCCTAAACATGACTTCTCCAGGAGCAAAAAAGAATTTTCATATTATATGTAAGACCTTTCCTTTTTGTTTCTGCTTACACTCTACTTTGTTGTGTAGATATGTGTGATATATATTTCTCTATGTGAGACAGATGTATATATGTATATATAATTTTGTGTATGTCTTGGTAGCATAAAAGTCGCTCAGAGAAACAAGCATGTTTGTCATTCTTTTTTCTTTCAGCCATTCCATTCTGTCCATAAACTACAGTGTTATTATATCATGGATATAATAATGCCCATAATGGGGGAAATCTAAATGGGAAAATAAACTTTTTTCCATAGCTCTCACCCATTACAGCTGTTATACATGGCTAGAGCATGCTAGACCATTTCCAACTTCTAGCTTCCCAAAGAATACCAGGATGCAGACAAAGGAGTTTTAACTACCACAGAGACATGACATGGATCCTTGATAATGACTGTGATAGTCAAAAGTACTTGAAGAAATCAATAACAAAATATGAACTTTGGACAATTTATCCACAACTTCAAGCACAATACTCAACACCTTATCTGAAAATTTGCAAAATATAATAAAAAATTAAACAAACAGACCATGTTAGTTCTTTTTAATCAAACTTGATTGTATATATATATATATATATATATATATATATATATGAAAATGAATAAATATGCTCTTTAATAAATAAACCAAGCATCTACTCGATATATATATATATATATATATATATATGTAGAAATTTTGAAAAACAAACAAAAATCCATAAATGTAGTTAAAATGAAAGAATTGTCGACGTCAGACGTTTCGGTTTTAATAAACCATTTTCAAGACAAAATTCATTAAAATACAAATTCAGTTCAATATGACGAAAACGATGGACATAAAAACACAAGTCTTATCCAAGAGTAAAACAGATAACTGAAAATTTTTAAAAAGATCAGCTTTCCGTTTAACGTGGTCACGCCGTAGTCACATGGGCGACGCTCCCATAACGTATTCCTAAAAGTTCGTGATTATTTTAAAATTCCTGTATTTCCGGATATATATACATGTATATATCGAGTAGATATATATATATATATCGAGTAGATGCTTGGTTTATTTATTAAAGAGCATATTTATTCATTTTCATCTACCAGCCTGAATATTCGACAAATCTTATTAGAAAAATATGCACTCTCCTTTTTCTAGTATGATTTATCAAATATTCAAGTGGGTAGATGAAAATAAATAAATATACTGTGTAATAAACAAACCAAGCATCTACTCAAATACTAGTATCCACTAAAAAAATGTTTATATATATATATATATATATATATATATATATATATATATATATATATTAATAAATATGCATATTATTCCTCACTGATAATACAACTCAAAGTTTCATTCCCAATGCAATCTTCAGGTGCTGAGTATAGACTGACCATTACGTAATTTAAATTTTAATGAAAATATCTACTTATCACAATATTGGTGCAGTTATCTATTATACTGGGATTATAAATTTTTAATTTAAAAAAAAATATATTTAGTATTTAAAATAAACATGATTTGTATATATATGTAAAAAAAAATTATTTTAGAGTCATGAATATTATTTTTTTATATTAAGCATAAAGGGAGATTACTTGTTCATTTACAAAAAAAAAAACGAAACAAACAAACCATAATTTATATTGAAAATTAATTTGGATCAACATATTTAAGAAGATATTTTTATACTTACATGTAATCATCAATTCATTTCCCTTGTTTAATAAGTTAGAATTATTTAAGTGTTTTAAGATAATCAATTTTTCAACAAGTGTAATAAAGTATTTATACTTTGTATCCTAATCATTATCGGAATGCGGAACCAATTAACTTGAACTGAAGATAGAATGAGAGAGACAAAAAGTGAGTAAAAGGGAGAAATACAGAAATATTTAGTGAGAGCATGAGAGAGATGACATGAGAGAGAAAGAATGGGTAATAGAGAGAAACAGTGAGATACTAAGAAAGGTTGAGTAAGAAAGATAGTGAAGAAATGTGAGGGTGCAAGAGTGTGAGAATAGCAGAGAGATAATGAGTGAGAGAAAGTGTAAGAGACAGTAAGAGTGAGTGGGAAAAAGATAACAGGAGTATGAGAGTGAGTGAGTGAGAGGGAATGGAAGATAAAGGGATTGAATGAGAGTGGGTGATATAGAGAAATAGTGAGCAATGAGTGATAAAGAGAAAACATGAGAGTTAAGGAGTTATAGACAGTGAAAGAAAGAGAGAAATTGGGAGTAACAGAGAGTAAGAGAAAGAGTGAGAAAAAAATAAGAGGTAGAGAATGACTAAGAGTGTTAAAGTGTGGAATTTTGAGGTGGGTGCTGAAAATTTGGCCATATAAAAATATTCAACTCATCCTCAAAAGGTAAAGAAAAAAGCAGATAAAGTATAAATCCGAAATTTTATATTCCAGAAAGATTTCTTACTGACTTCAACTCAAACTGTTACATCCAGCTGCTACTTGGACAATCATGCAGACCCTCACTGACTGCTACTTCGACTGACTGATTAGTTGATATTTGATATGTTGTCCTTTTATTTATACATCAGATGCAGATGTCATAGTAGACACATAATGCGCTTGAATATTTAACAAAAACTGTTTGGTTCATTTTTAAAGAGTGTTACTTGAAAAGTATCAAATATCTAACTTAATAACGATACATGCTACAACTTTGCAGATGGATAATTTAATATATGTTTTAAATGTTGTATAATTTTTATCTTTCTCTATAAATTATAAATTATTTAAATTTTATTTTAAGTTTGTATCCACTCAGTGGGAATATTGTATCTCATTAATAATTTTCATTGAAATGATATTATTTTGTATGAAACTGATAAAGAGTATATGTTCTGATAATGTGTTTGCTATAATTTGAATCTGTTTAATTTGTTTGTTTTACTAAATATTAATCTATATAGATTTTTTTCTTCTTCACAGACACTGCAAGAGAAGAAGTAGAATGAGTGAGATAGAAAGAAGGAGTAAGGGAGAAATAGAGAAAAAAAAAAGCATGAGTGAAAAGAAAGCGTGAGAGAGAAATAGTGATGGACAGAGAGAGAAAGAGAGAGAAATAAAGTGAGGGAGACTTTCTAGACTTAAATAGAAAATCAATAAACAGATACTAGAAATGGAGAAAGTGTATCTTTATACACTGCAAGGGAGGGATCGAAGAGCAGACAGACATGAAACTAACATAGGAAACTCTCACTCTTTCTCTCTCTCACTTTCTCTCTCTCTCTCCCACTTTCTCTCTCTCTCTCTCTCTTTCACTTTCTCTCTCTCTTTCTCTCTCTCTCTCTCCCACTTTCTCTCTCTCTCCCTTTCACTTTCTCTCTCTCTCTTTCTCTCTCTCTCTCTCTCTCCCACTTTCTCTCTCTCTCTTTCTCTCTGTACAAAAGTAATATTCAACTTCATTGCCAATGATTTCCTCATGTCTGTTTAATTCCCACCCCAGCACCCAGAGGATCAGTTGGTCTCAGAGGAACAACAATAGCTACCCAATCCTCCACCCTGACACACCCAGCTCAGCTTATAACAAAACGAGGCCAAGTCCTGCTGGGGTGATTCACTCACTGCTAATTTCCCACACCCAAATGCCTGCCCAACCAACCCCATCTCAAGTTCAGAACAAAATGATAAACTATGAAAGAGAACTACTGAAACTCAAGAAACAATATTATTAACATGTTAACACATGCATACATATAGACACAGATCACAAATATATACACATACTAACACTTTCATCCAAACACTCATACATCCATACATATACATCTGTACATACTTATACATATATCTATATACATCAAGGCTATCCCAAGTAAAGGCTTAGTATTTACCTATAGTCTCAAGTATAAAGAAACACTATTTATATATAGACTCAAGTATAAGCATGACCAATATTTACATATAGAGTCATGTAAAAATGATCAATGGATTCAGCCAATATTTACCTATAGACCAATCTCTCTCTTGGCCTGGCTTTGTGAATGAAGATTTATGAAGTAGGCTGTTCATGTCAACTGCAGGTACGCTGATGGCTGACTAGGCTGATGTGGAACAGGCAAGTCCAGCGGCAGTGACTGCAATTAAAGGTCTGGTCTGGTATAGCTGCTGAGGCTTCATGGTCCTTCCTCTCATAGCATTTCTCCTTCAGGTTGGCTCTACAAGAGTCCTCAAAGGTGGAGACGGTGTGGCGCCAGGCTTGATGATCAGCAGCAAATGTCAACCACTGGCGATGGTCAATGTGGCAGGTACTGAGGGACTTTTTGAGGGAGTCCTTATAATACTTCTTTGGTGCCCCTCTGTCCCAGTGGCCAGTGGAGAGTACCCCATACAGGGCTATCTTAGGCAGGCGATGGTCCCTCATTCTGGAGATGTGCTCTGCCCAGCATAGCTGTGAATTCAGCAACATGGCTTCAATGCTGGTAATTTCCACCTGTTTGAGGACTTCAACATTGGTGATGAAGTAACTCCAATGAATGTTGAGGGTGGTATGGAGACAGCACTGATGGAAGTGTTCAAGGAGTTGTAGGTGATGGCAGTAGGTTACCCATGACTCAGAACCATACTAGGTGGTAAGTATGAAGGCTCTATAAACACTGATATTAGTGCCTTTCTTCAAATGTTTGCTATTCCAGGCTCTTTTATAGAGTCTGCCAAAAGTATTGTTTGCTTTGGACCAATATTTACCAATTCAACCAATATTTACATAGAGGATCAAGAATAAAGACAACAATTTGACTAGAGACTCAGGAATAAACAGCCAATATTTACAATGATTATCAATGGATGCATGCTTGTATTCACAGGTCAGAGAAGGTGAAAAGAAAACAGTAAAAAAGATAGGGTAGAAGGCTATCCCAAGTAATGTCCTCATAACCATGTCATTTGTGTCTCTGGACAGAAGTAAGTCTGTTTATCCTAAGTAACTAATAACCTAGAATTTTTTTTAGAAACCTTTTCGCAAGAAACTTGTGATTGATAACTAATAATTAACAACTAAATCTAATATAAGGACTCAATTAAGATCATTTCTTATTGAACAGAAATCAAAGATAATATACCTGTAGGAATCAATCAGAAAAGCCCTCTCTCTCACAGGTAGAATGTGGCATGTCTCTCACTGCTCTATTGCAACTATCATGGAAAGTGCTCAGACAAACTACATTCCTTCATTCCGCCAGATCTAATCTTTACAGCTAGGACCAACCATGTAACTTACATAGTAGCATTCCCTCCATATTCCATCAGAAAGAAGTAAGTTCCACTCAAACAGCTTCTTCCCATGAACCACTGCCCTGTAGAACAGGCTCCCAAGAGGATATTTCCCCCATCACTACAATCTTAACCTGTTCATGCCTAGAGTTAACTGTTATCTTCCCCTCCTACCCATATACACTACACCTTAACATAACTCTCTACATTGAGGGGCTCTGGGCCTTGTACAGGGTGAAACTTACTGTAAGAAAAAAAATCGAAAAATCAACTTCAAACTTTACAGAAATACTCATCAACAAAGCATAAAAAACATTTTAGGGAAAAATAAGTATTAATAATGCAACACAAAGAAAAAATATTTGGAAAAATATTTGGAAATATTTGTAAGTTTTATTTCACAATATTTTATCATATTTATAATCTTAAATTTCTCACACATTATTTAACTTTATTTCTTGGAATATGAAGAAAATACTTATGGGACAACTCTATAATCTTCAGCATCAGTTATTTGCTTAACTCAGAGACTCAAACTAACAATAGTTCTTTGAAATATATATTTGACAATTCCATTCACTCTTTTAAAGAATTTCTACAAGCCCTTAATAGTCATGATTTTTTTAAATACCATCTACTCTGTTGGCCAAAAGGTTTGTACATTTCAAGTAAATTTTCTTCTGAATAACTGAGCAAACATTTTGGTCAACACAATACCTTAATAATGTAAACTATCATGGATCTTCATAAGCTTCTTTCTTTATTATCTTTGAATTGCCATAATTTCTTGGGAAAAATAGTGGAGTGGTTTTCCATTGCCTACTCCAGTTTTGAATTCAGTGTTGATCTTCTCCTAGGCTGGATGCCACACAAAGCTAACATTTCACAAAGACATTATTGTGAAAGTGAATGAAACAGACTAGGCTGAAATTTGAACTCAGATTGCCGATTCCCCTATAACATGCTAGAGCTATAATAGAATAATTTTTGTATTTCCCCCATTATTGGCATTATTATATCCATGATATAATAACACTGTATTTCATGGACAGAATGGAATGGCTGAAAGGAAAAGGAATGACAAACATACTTTGTTCTCAGAGAGACTTTTATATCAGTAAGACATACACAAAAATATATATACATAAATATATATATATATATATATATATATATATATATATATATGTCCCATGCAGAGAAAAATATATAACATATATCTACATGGCAAAGCAGAGTTTAAGGAGAAATAAAAAGGGAAGGTTCTTATATATAATATGAAGATACTTCTCCATCTGGAGAAGCCATGTTTAGGACTCCAGATTCAAACAGGCCAAATTTATCTACTACCCTGCCAAGCGAGGACATATTCCACAAACAGGAAACAGCAAGTCTTGGGTTTTCTCAAATTGAGGACTGTGAGCTGGAGCTTCTTTCTATATCTGGGAAAGATATTTCCCGAAAAGAAATCATCCCAAGTGCTTGTAAGCTGCTGGGGGAGGCAGATTTAGCTCCAGCTAAAAAAAGCAACCACTTTTGTTAGAGTACAGTAAACAAAACTGAATGACTGGCCACTTCTGTCACTGTCATGAAGCAGGGTGTAACTCATATAATCCATGTGACTTATCTCCACCAAAAGGAGATAATCAAATTCTGTATCTCTACACCCATTTCTACATCTATAATTATTACTCTACCTGTGTATCAGAAAACAGAAAACACCCACTGAACTATGCTAACCAGAATTTTTAAAATGCCATGATCTGTTTTGTTAAAGCATTCCACATCACTTTGATATTAATTTTTTTATATTAATATATGTATATATTAATGTCTGAAGCTTAGTTTGTGTATGTCTACTCAAAACACTGAAAATTAACTAAGTATATGTAACACTTGTTTTTTCGTATGTGCAAATATTATACCAGGCTATGACCTCAGATGAAAACCATTTTAAGGTA